ACTCCAGTCCTCGAGGGCCACTGTCTTGAAACTTTTCCATCTGTCCCTGTTGCAAAACATGTGAAAAAGAGTAGTAGGTCATTAGCAAGACTCTACAGAACTTGACTGCATGCTGAAGTGGCAACCCCTAACCCTACGTAAGTAAATTTAAGTAAATGTAAACATTTGTTTGGAAAAATGTAGTTCTAAAGCTACTGTTACATGAATCAAATGGCTGAATTGCCAACTCAGCATGCAGTCAAGTTCTATAGAGTCTTGCTAATGACCTACTAATTGTATTCACTTGTGTTGCAGCACAGACACATGAAAAAGTTTCAGGACAGGCCCCCTTGAGGACTGGAGTTCGAGACCCCTGCCATAGAGATTATCAAGGCAAAAAGCACACATTTCCAGGACCTTTTCAAAAACACAATATTTATATGAGCCATCTTAAACATTTATTTTTAGTCTAACTGAAAAGAATTAGCCTGTTAACTTGGTAATGCTGGCTTTGTTTCTATGTGCATTGTTTCCACACAATGCACACATTCTTAGTATTAAGAGAAACTTTAAACGGTGCAGTAATGCCTGCAACTGTTGGAAGGCAGCCCCAAGCTCTTTAACAGCCTGACTCACAGTAGAACTAACCAACTGCTGTCTTATTTACATTAAGGTGTAGTGTAACTGCCAGCATAGTATTCCCAATATTATTAATAAAAATAGAAAATAAAACAAAGCTTAAAATTGAATTTTGAACCTGAGCTACCCAATACCCATTACTCAAACCAATATCACCGAGTCAGCCTAAGAGCAGGTCATAGTCAACTGAATCAAAAGCCTTGGACATATCAACAAACAGCTGCACAGTACTGCTTCTTGTCCAAGGCAAAAATGAACTAAATGATATAAAGATCTTAATTAAGGTTTGGGGCATCGGGGGATTCCCCAGGAGCATCTTCCTTGGAGGGCTCAACCCGGGGTTGTGGTCATGGCCTATTAGGTGACGGTTTCCTCGTGGCTGCGTGCAGCGGGGCTAGGGGAGGGTCTGTGCTGACGGACGTGGGTTACTGACCTGGTAGCCTGGCTGCCCCTGGGTGGGTCCGGGACGGGCGTGAGGTTCTGGGGG